TATTTCTTGTCTTTAATTTCATTCCCTAAATTTTATTAATTTTTATTTTGAAATAAAATAAATTAAAGTGCATAAAATTACAAAATAATGAAAATTGACTAAATTTTATTAAAATATATTTTGAAAAACTTCACATTTTTTTAAAACACACGAAAAAGATTGGGTTATGAAAAATGAATAAGATAAGTCCTTTTTTTTTCGGTTAACGATGATTAATTTGTTTAAAATCTCATAAAAAAACAACTTAGTCTCAATAACAGATCTGAAGGACACCTCTAGGATAAAACGATAAATATAACAACCCATCAAGTGCCACGAGATAGGCACGTGAGGAGAGTGTTTTGAAGTGGGTGAGGAAGCAGATGGGCAGGCAGCGAAGGCGGACAAGGAAACAAAAGGTGCCACCTCAAGAAGGGCAAGAGTACAGAAAACTGAAGGGCCTACCACATTAACGAGAGTGGGTTCGCAACCGTGTGAGGGTCCCTGCCAGCCAGCTCCAAAGAGCCACGAGTCAAATTAAATTAGGACTCTCTCATTTTGACTTTTGTAGCCAATAGCACGAGGGCTTGGCACAGTACTTTCTTAATGGTTAAGGCTGCTTTGACCCACCCAACTTCCACATGGCATGATGTGATCGGTTTATAACAATATTTTAAGACCGACCTTGGACCGCCTGAAGCCCTGGACCCGTCCCTGTATCGTGTCCTCGTTTTTCTTCCGTTCTTGGCTTGATCTTGGGCATCATGTTTACCTGCACCCCTCACTTCCATCAGAGGCGTTTTATCAAAAATCATACTTAGAGGTTTTCATGGAATTCTTATTTTCATGTTCTGGATCGAGATTTTAATCATCAATAGAAGCTGATTTTTTTTTTTAAGGAAAAATTGCTCATCTTTATCTTTCCATGAAAAAATAACATCTTTGTGTGTTTTTTTAGGTAATTTAATCATTTTAGAGGGCCAATTAGTTATTAAAAACCAGATTAGGGGTGTAGTTGTTTTTTCCATTTTTTTTAGCATGATAAAATAACATAATTATTCCCGGAATAAAAAAATTTTAAACCTACAGGAGAGGGGCATATAAGTTTTTGTTGTTGTTAATGTACAGTAAAATGACAAGAATGCTTTTAAATAAAAGAAATATATTTACCCATATGGCCAGGGCCTTAAGGTATTTTTGTATTGATTTTCTGTAATTGTTGTGATTATCAAGAGTATATATATTTTTTTGTATTAAATAAATATTATTTAATTTTAAAAACTCATGAGATACTCATTTTAAGCCGTGTGTATAGTGCTTCCTAACACTTAATTTATTTATTTTTCATGTTATTGAATACGTTGTTATATCATTTTCTTTATAATGCAATCCGTGTTAATAATAGTTGGGTAATTTTTTGTTGGTTTACTTTTTTTTTTTCTATTAAAATATATATTTTATTTTATTTTGCTCATTATAACTTTTGGTTTTTATTTTTAGTTTTTATCCTTATTCAAGTTTAATTTATTTACAATCTAATCCTTATTTTAAATTTTTCATCCATAATATTTTTTAACTTCATCCTTTTAATTTCTAATTTTCCCGTGGCACTTTTGTTAAGTAATTTTTAGTTTTATTTTTTAATTCAAGTTTATGATGTTATGTTTTTTTTTCTAATTTAATTTTTATTTATTTATTTATTTATTTTTATTTATTTTTATTTGTTTTCAATTTAACCATTCAATCAAAGAATTGCTATTGCACTTTAGTTTATTTTTTTTATTTTGATTTCCACCCTTATTCTTTTAACTATTTTTTTTTATTTTAGATCCTTTCATATATTTGATTTTTTCTTTAATTTTATCCTTCAACATTTGATTTATTAAGAATTAAATTAATTAGTTTTTTTTTCATGTATAATACTTCTAGTTTAATCAAACATGTCACAAGTTTTAAAAGTTATTTATTGTATAGTTTTCAAAGCTAACTTAAGTCAAGTCACTAATGTCAAGTTTTGACTAGCTTTTGTAGGAGTAATTTAGTTGCAAGTCAACTTAATTTTTTGATTAGATTATTTTTTTTTCAATTTTTTTAAATCTAAAATAATAATCTAAGAGGTTATTTTAATTTTATTATAAACTACAAATTTTAAAGATTAATTTAAATTAACTCACCTCTTATTAGCTAAATTTTTTATTTATCATATAATCTTGGGTTTGCTTGAGTAAGTTTTTTATCTCTGTTTATATGCAATTATATTCAAAGGTTTTTTTTTTTTTTCAAATTATCAAGTTTTTTTTTTAATTTATCTACTTATTTGGTACCATTTTTTTTTATTTTCTCATTCTAATAAACCAACTTATTCAATCCAACTTATTCAATCAGGTCAGGGGCTATAACTCGAGTCATTTCATTTGCATATTTATTTTAAAAGCGTAGGCGGCACCTAGACGTCGCTTTTTATGCAAAAAAATGGTCTTGAAGTGAATCGCAGCCCCTTGCTAGTGCCGTCTAAAGAAAAAGCATGTTTATTTAACTATCAAACTAATCCTTCAAATTTATATTATGTTTTAATTGAAAGCAAAAGTTTTGGTAAAATTCCTTTTTCCTTAATCAAAAAAAATTTCATATCAACTATTTTTCTTTTTATTTGTTTCTATTTTTAAAAAATAAAAGAAAAATAAATTAAAAATGAATATAAAATTAAGGGATGGACCAAGTTATAAATGTATTTTAAGATACAATTATTAAATATATTGTTCTTAAAACTAGTTAATTAATAAGCATCGTGAAATTATATGATATAGACACTTATGTTGATAATAATAATAAAAACTAGCTAATTAATTTTGTTAATATAGAAGAACAAAGTTTAAGCCAAAAGTGGTTTCTGACCCCGTGTAATAGTGTCACATAAATTTACTCACCATGAATATTACCAAAAGACTCAAACACAATATATATTTGTATGTGCAATTCTGCGAATTAAATTAAGAAATTACCATTAATTAAACAATATTATATACCAACTTGTAGTTGCTCATCTATGTTTGATCCAAAGTTAGAATACCCCACACCCAGCTCTTAAGCAAGAAAAAACACTGGTGGTTTCATAATGTGAGTAAAACTATTTATGAGTGAAATTGTAAATCAAAAGAAAAGCTGAGCAAACACAAAATTATCGCTAAATTTGTAGGGCTACAAGCAAAAACAAGGAAAAATATTCATAATGGTTAAAGTCACTTACACCTTGTTTATGTGCTAATTTTTTTTTCTTTTGGAAAGTAGTTTAAATAGAAAGTAAATTTTTGAAATAAATTTTTTATGTTAATTTGTTTTGAAAAATAATTTTCGAGAAAATAGATTACTCACTGATGTCTAATGAAAAATGAGTTGGAAATTATTTTTTGATTTTTGAAAATATTAAAAAAATAAGTTGAAAAATAATATATTTTGAGTTATTAATTTTTTTTAATAGTAGAAGTTATATTTTTATCAAATATTGTTTGGTGTTTGAAGAACATTAAAAATAAATTTCTTTCCTATAGTGTCCTAATTTTATAACACAATTTATATGATTTAAAATGCATTGTTATTATATAACAACACATGTTTTGTATCCAAATGTATTTTGTAGCAATATTATATAAATTAAAGTATTAGATGCACTAATATATCAAATTAATATGAATTATATTGTATATTAATATATCCTAACATATTATTTCCTATATAAATATATTAGCAATTTATTGTTTTCTAATAATATTATATTTTAAAATATATTATTGTTTATATATATAATGAAGTATTCTACCATTTTAATTTTTGGATCCTTCATGGAAAATGTGTTCTACTCTTTTAAATAAAAAAATATATTTTTCCTTCTAAAATTTATGTTTTTCTTTGATAAAAAAATGAGTTTCATTGATCAATTTTCTACAATGCAGTCAAACATAAAAATAAATTAAGGAGATACTTTTTGAAAAAACACTTTTTAGAAAACATGCAAGCTCCTATCTTCTCGGTGTCAGGCTCTATGTGTATAAATAGCTTTTCTTCCATCAAAGAGATCGATTTTCTTACGGCTATTTTTGGCTATTAGCATATTTTTTAAAATATATTTGTGAAATAATATAAATAAAAAAAATAATATAATTTATACATTTTATGAAATAATATAATTAATAAAAAAAGTAACATTTATAATTGATCATTATTTAAAATAATGACATATAATAAAAATATTAAATGAGCATGAGAAAGAAGACAGAAAAGGGAAAAAAACAACTCTAAAAATATATCAAGATTTTGATTATAATATTACTAGTGCTATAAAAAAATTATCAATAAAATAAATCTAACAATATAAAAAAACTATTAATAATGACCCAAATAAGTCATATTTGCTATTCAAATATGACAAAAGACTCATTTATTTTTAACAATAAGTGTAATATACTAATAAGTGTAAGATGCTTGGATTATTGTTCGTAATTTTTTTTTATATTATTTGATTTGCTTCATTGATATTTTTTATGATATTGATGATATTCTAATAAAAATTTCAATGTATTTTTAGAGTTTTTTTTTTATTTTTTATCTCATCTCTTTTGCTTATTTAATATTTTTTTTATTGAAAATAGCTATTATGAATATTTGAATTATAAAAGTTGTGTTTTGCAATACAATATATACAAACTGTGTTATTTAACATTTTTTTTTAAACTATGCTATTCCGTTAATATTTTTAACTTACTTTGCTCTTTTGTTTTTAAAAAAACTTTTTTCTTACTAGCATTTCATTTATGTTTATTCTTTGAGTGAATAACTAACAAACCTTCTCAATATTTTAATGTATAGATTTGTATCTCACAAAAGTTTTACTAATATTCTTCCTTGAGTAATTATATACCAAAAAATAATAATTTTATGTCCTGATTTAGATTAGAAATGGATAATAACAAAATTAAATAAATGTCCTTTTCATCTACAAAAATAAAAGGAGGAAAACAGCAATATACCCAAAACGCAAAATTAATATAAGAGATAGAATCCAACATAATCTTGTGAATGGCAGCAGCTAAAAGCCACCTCCCAAAAGTGAAAATGGATAAGACGGTCGTGGCCTATCCTCCACCCCCGCCGCCATTTCACCAAAATAGTTCATGTGGGCACCCCAATCACCACCATATCCTATCACAGCACTATTCCCTTGCGGCAACACTGCCACCGTTGCCCCAATCCCTGCACCCATTGAGCCTGTTGTAAATGGACTTGGTCCTGCCACGGCAAGACCATAGTTCACTTGATCTAACCATCCTATAGCGTTAATATCTGACCCATCAGGTGAGGGTGAAGATTGACAAAATTTATCTACATTAAAAACAGTTTCTGGCGAAGATATTACCCCTATAGAACCCTCTTCATGAACCACTTCAGACTTTATTTTTGTTGAAGTACTTGAAATTGCCATGCCAGAAGGTGATGTCGCCGAAGAAGATATCATCAAACGTTGTTTCTTGTCTTTTATCTGCCTTGTACGTTCTTTTTCAAGAATCATACGAGGAAGGAGATCAGGGTCTTCAACAACTTTATAGATAAAAGCCATCATTTGTTGTGGACGTCTTTCCGTCGCTTCTAAACGCTTGTTCATGCCTTCAAGTTCTTGCTCTAAGGCCTTCTGTTCTTGCTTTAACCTTGCTATCTCCATAATTATTTCTTCATCATCGAAGTCTTCACCTTTTATATTTACTTGCATATATGATGACCCTTTATTATTAGTACTATGCTTCCTGCGAACTATATTCTTCAGCAATTGCTTTTGCCCTCTGAGAAACCATTCGTTTGCAAATTCCCATCTATCTGGATCGACTTTTCTAAAACCCTGGCAATCATGAAACAAAGAAATGTAACATTAATTGATCGATCAATAACAGCACTGCTCTACACATATAAATATATTACACAGCATGATTTGGTTAGGATTACTACTCACATAGGTGTTCAACTGTCGAACAAAGCTAGAGAAGTTGTTGTGTTTGAAGTAAACAGGCAAAATCCTCTGAGAGAAATCTAAAGGGTCGATGACGATGAAACTGTTGTTTGCTCTGCCCCAGGAAATTAGAGAATCCGTCGTTGGATCACTGACCATCTGATAAATCTTCAAAACAAAGGGTGCTATGATGTTATTGTTGTTATTAGCCTCCATCATATAAAATTAACCCAGCACCGTGAATTAAAACTCTCCTTCTTCTTCTTCTTTCTTTCTGCTCAAAGATTGAGAGGATGAGATGCCAAAATGGCAAGAGCTACTGTGATGGGGATGGCATTGGCCCTTTTTCTCCAAGTGGGGAGACACCACCGTTAATATATAAATGGACGCATGTACTGTAACATGAGCTTCGGTGGGAGGGCAGAAATCCTAATGGCTGTGATATTTCTTGGGTCACGAGATGAGACCCACCCTTGCTCCGCTTTTATCATCTTATGCGACACGTCATGGTCCCTTATGGCTAGATATTTTCATTACCGAAGCCTGTCTCCACTCGCTGTGCAGGCGCGTGTGAGCCTGTTCCCAACTCCCATCTTTTTGTAAGCGATTGGTGGAAGCCGACCGCTCGGACGTTTATTAGGTGGTGTTTGGTAGGGAAACGTAACTTCAAGGGCAGATTGGGAAGATCGAAAGAGTGGGAGATGGGAAGCAGATGAGAAGATTGATTTATTTTTGATTTGGTGTTGTATAAAATAAGATTTTCTTTTCATCTGTGTTCGATCGTGGAGGAATTAAAGAATAGAATGCTATAAAAAACTATTTTACCTTTGCAACTTATAGACCTGTCCAAGTTATGTTTAAAATATGTTTTTGTGATATTTTTTATTTTCAAGATCATATAAAATTACTTACTAATCTTATTTTTAAGTGAAAAATTATATTTAATTTCTTAAATTTTATATTTCTTACTAATAATTTTTTCCACAATGTTTTTTTCTTAATTCAACTTATATTTATTTACATATTTTAGCAATAAATTAATAATATAAAAGTTTTGTTAACATATCAACTAGTTTAATATAATTTTAAGCCTTCAATTTAACAATTAAAAACATCATATATAAAATATTAAATAAATGACATGCAAAAAATAATAAAATATATTATTGTATTTAAAATATAAATAAATAAGTAAAAAAATAGAATTTAAACAAAGTAAATCATTAAAAAAATAAAAAGTAACCTAAGCCTGAATCGAGCCGGGCATGATAAGGCCTTTTTAGATGCATGTGCATTGCCAATATCCATTTTTTTGTATAAAAAAACCATATATCAACAACACGTTAGTTGCATAGATTATTGGAGTCGTTGTTTTTCCATTCAATGAAAGTTTTTGAATTTATTTTTACTTTAAATTATTTTAGATAATTTTAATATATTAATATTAAAAATAAATTTTAAAAAGCAAATCCTACTATAATCCTTAACAAATTTTCAATAATTTATCAATTTTATTTTTTAGCATAAAAATAAAAATAAAAATAAAAGTAACTTACTTAGTATCTTAAGGTTTGATTTTCTTTTTTAATTGAACTTTTGAATATTATATTTTGTAATCTAAACTTGAATGCGGTAACACTTTATATTTTTAGGAGTTGGAATATATATATATATATATATATATAAACAAGAAACAAGACATATATTATATTTGAAATAATAACTAAATAGTTTTTGAAGCCTAAAAATAACAAAAACATCACTAAAAAACTTGAAAAAAGTATACAGAGAGAACACAAAAACAAATAAAAAGAAAAAGAAAAAAAGAAGACAACTCTTCTCTCCCATTTTCGGTAGCATATCCAGCCCCACCATCAACCTTTCTCCAAAGTTTTGTACGATTCTCCCTGCATTACCATATAATTTGGGTTTTTAAGTCTTTTAATGGTATCTATAGAATGATCCATCATAATTTATTAATTAATATTTTAAAAGACATGAAAAAAATACTATAATTTTTTCTACGCCTTTTAACTTTTCTTGTTATTAATATATTATTATTATTATTCTATTATATTATAACATATCCTAAAAAATATTACAACTATTTTTTTCTAATAATTTTTTTGTTTAATTTAGTTTGTTAATGTTACTTTTTATTTATTTTGTTATTAAACTTTTATGATATGGATCATGAGTTTGATGGGTTAACTTGATTTAACGAGTTAATCAGGAATTTTTTTTTAATTATTTTTTTTGTTTAGTTTAGTTTGTTAATATTAAATTTATTTTTATTTAATTATCAGATTTTCATAAAATGTATTCCGAACTTGATGGGTTAACTTGGTTTGACAGGTTAACCTAGTTAATTCTAGGTAAAACGATTATTTTTTTATTTAGTTATTAAACTTTTATGACACAGATCCCGATTTTGACGAGTTAGCCCAATTAATTATGAATAACCTGTCAATTGTTTTTCCTATTTAGTTATCAAACTTTTACAACTCAAATTCAAGGTTTTATGGATTAACCTACTTTGAAGGGTTAACCCAATTCATTAAGACTTTTGTTCTTTTTCTTCATTTTGTTTTTAAGAAAAACTTATGGATTACTACAATGTTTCCCTATATGGTTTTTTTTTTCATGAATTTTTTTAAATTATCTTTATCGATTTTTCTTCGTAGTTTTTTTTTAAAACATTGTGGATTGTTACAATATTTCCTCATATTGTTTTTGTTTTGGTATAGTGTTTCTTTACATGTTTTTTTTTAATTTTTTTTATTTTTTTAATAGTGAGCTAGTTGAGAATTCAGTTTTAACTTTCCACACATATTTTTTTTCTATTTTTTTCTATTTTTTATTGCTTTTTTTCCAAAATTGTCCTTTTTTTGTGTTTTTTTAGAATGTTTTTGTTGATTTTATTTTTTGAATATAGAGCTGGTTGAGAATTTAGCTTCGTTGTTTTTTTCTTAAAAACACTATGGATTATTACAATGTTCCTCCATATGATTTTTTTTTTTTTTTTTTCAAAATTATTTTTATTATTTTTAATATTGAATTGGTTGAGAATTATAGTTCTAAATTTCTTCATGAAACATTATAGATTGCTATGGTGTTTTCCTGTATGTTTTTTCTCTTTTGTTTTTTTTCTAAAATTTTCTTTGTTCATTTAATTTTTTTAAATATATATATATATATATATAAACAAGAAACAAGACATATATTATATTTGAAATAATAACTAAATAGTTTTTGAAGCCTAAAAATAACAAAAACATCACTAAAAAACTTGAAAAAAGTATACAGAGAGAACACAAAAACAAATAAAAAGAAAAAGAAAAAAAGAAGACAACTCTTCTCTCCCATTTTCGGTAGCATATCCAGCCCCACCATCAACCTTTCTCCAAAGTTTTGTACGATTCTCCCTGCATTACCATATAATTTGGGTTTTTAAGTCTTTTAATGGTATCTATAGAATGATCCATCATAATTTATTAATTAATATTTTAAAAGACATGAAAAAAATACTATAATTTTTTCTACGCCTTTTAACTTTTCTTGTTATTAATATATTATTATTATTATTCTATTATATTATAATATATCCTAAAAAGTATTAGAACTATTTTTTTCTAATAATTTTTTTTTAATTTAATTTGTTAATGTTAACTTTTTATTTATTTTGTTATTAAACTTTTATGATATGGATCATGAGTTTGATGGGTTAACTTGATTTAACGAATTAATCATGAATTTTTTCTTTTTAATTATTATTTTTGTTTAGTTTAGTTTGTTAATATTAAATTTATTTTTATTTAATTATCAGATTTTCATGAAATGTATTCCGAACTTGATTGGTTAACTTGGTTTGACAGGTTAACCTAGTTAATTCTAGGTAAAACAATTATTTTTTTTATTTAGTTATTAAACTTTTATGACACAAATCCCGGTTTTGACGAGTTAGCCCAATTAATTATGAATAACCCGTCATTTTTTTTTCTATTTAGTTATCAAACTTTTACGACTCAAATTCAAGGTTTTATGGATTAACCTACTTTGAAGAGTTAACCCAATTCATTAAGACTTTTGTTCTTTTTCTTCATTTTTGTTTAAGAAAAACTTATGGATTACTACAATGTTTCCCTATATGGTTTTTTTTCTTTTTTTCATGAATTTGTTTTTCAAAATTATCTTTATCGATTTTGCTTCGTATTTTTTTTTAAACATTGTGGATTGTTACAATATTTCCTCACATTGTTTTTGTTTTGCTATAGTGTTTCTTTACATATTTTTTTTTAAAATTTTTTTTGTCATTTTTTTTAATAGTGAGCTAGTTGAGAATTCAGCTTTAACTTTCCACACATGTTTTTTTTCTATTTTTTATTGCTTTTTTTTTTCCCAAAATTGTCTTTTTTTTGTGTTTTTTTAGAATTTTTTTTGTTGATTTTATTTTTTGAATATAGAGCTGGTTGAGAATTTAGCTTCGTTGTTTTTTTCTTAAAAACACTATGGATTATTACAATGTTCCTTCATATGATTTTTTTATTATTTTTTTCAAAATTATTTTTATTATTTTATTATTTTTAATATTGAGTTAGTTGAGAATTACAGTTCTAAATTTCTTCATAAAACATTATAGATTGCTATGGTATTTTCCTATATGTTTTTTTCCCTTTTGTTTTTTTTTTCTAAAATTTTCTTTGTTCATTTAATTTTTTTAAATATTTGAGGATTCAACTTTGTAGTTTTTTCCTTTAAAACATTGTGGATTGTAACAGTTTTTCTATATATATATTATTTTTTTTCACAAACTAACAACACATAAACATGCCACAAGCTCGCGATATTGTACGGGCATGTCATCTAAAAAAAGAACGAATGAAGAAAAAAAAAGACCTTGCAGCTAAATCTACATTCAAGACTATTGAGTTAGGTATTACAGCCAAACTCACTTAAACTTGAATCATACAAGTTTAATATTATTATTAGTATTATAAATATTACTCTTACATCAGGTATTATAGCTAAATCTAAATTTTTTTGATATAGTTTTACAAAAAAATCTAATATTTTTAAATTTCAGTTTAAGAGTAATAAGAGAAAGCGTTAAGTTGATGAGATCATGTATCAATCTCGCTGTAGAACATGACCGCACATTAAAATTGCTTTATTATCAATCCCTTTTCAAAGTTCTCAGCCAGTCTCCTCACATAACAATGTTGCCACAACACATAAGCATGCCACAAGCTCGCGATATTGTGCAAGCATATCATCTAGAAAAAGAACGAATGAAGAAAAAAAAAGACCTTGCAGCTAAATCTACATTCAAGACTATTGAATTAGGTATTACAGCCAAACCCACTTAAACTTGGATCATATAACTTTAATATTATTATTAATATTATAAATATTATTCTTAGATCAGGTATTATAATCAAAT